CAATTACTACACCTAACCAAGTAGGGGTACCTGACGATACAGTTATAACTTCCTTTGCTGCAACACAAAAAATGTAAATGCTATAAAAATAAGTCTATAAATTAAGTCTAACTAAACGCAATTAGTTAAAAGGTATGTTTAAAGCTTGCTTTATTACATTCTTTGGGTTGGCTAATCTATATACATATTACACAGTATTTTCTAAACTGTACGATTTCTTAACAAACGCTTAGTAGTCGTGGAATGGAATGGTTCACCTTATTGCAAAAAAAAAGCAACTGCTTCGTATGAAAATAAGGATGTTATTAGCCAAAACCAAAGAGCTTTTTATCAAAATAGCGTTTGCCGCTCAGCAGCCAATTTCAAACTCCTAACTTCTTATTTCCTTCGTTCACTTTCAATGTTATCAATAATACCATTGTTTATCCAGATTAAAAGGTGATAAGCCTTCGTGGGCTTTCGCTACAATCTATTTTATATGTAGAAGTTGGAGAGTATTTTGTCTTGCCTCATGGCTAAAAACGTTTAATGTGTAATGAAAGAGAAATCTGAATTAATAATATTTTTATTTGCTCACAATATTTGATCAGATTATAATAGTTCTTTATTTCTAAATATATAATATTATATTAAAAATATTTTAAATTATGGCTTCCGAATCAGGCAATAAAATATTTGGTAAATTTTTGTACATATCATCATACAAATTCATGCCACTCGGTATATACGGACATTTTTATATATATCTGATTTTTCCAAATATTTCCAACTTTTTTACTACAACACTAAAGCATTTAGAAACAAAAATTGCGTGTCCATGACCCCATGAGAGACAGAGTGAAGCCTTGTACTTGACCATTAGGACATTTAATCAACTGCAATGAACTCTGTTTCCAGTTTATCGAAAGCTTTTCCATTGCTCTTAATAAGGAGGAAAAGAGAGGATAAGTTGTAGCTTTTTTGAAGCGCATGCCCAACCTATCCTTGGGAAGACGTGGGCACGAAGGGCGGAATTTTTCAAGGTTTCGATGACATTCACATCACCGGTAATTCAGAAAATATATGAACGTTTATACGTTTGTTTCTAAAACGTTCATATACATGACCTTAACTTTGTTGGGGTAGTAATGAGGCCTATAGAAAAAAAAATTATTGACATTGACGTAGTTCTACATATGTAAATGTAATCCTTATTAACTACCACAATGTAAAGTACACATATTTTATCTTAATACAAAAATTCATAACTATGTATTTCTCTGTTATGATATATATACATACATTAATTAAAATAATTATTATTGTAGTTTTTAATATATAACATTTTAGATAAAAGTGGTTTGCAAATAGATTAGTAATTTTTGTTATATAGTATTTTTTCATTTCAAATGCCAATGGTAAGAATATACAAGTAAATTATACGCCAAAATGTAATGTTTCTAAATAGCACATACGAGGTGTGTTCAAAGAAAAGGTGAATTTTGATTCGTGGGCTGTATACATTCGATTAGAATATTTGTTTTTCTTATAATCGGATACATATGTTTATCATGTGCTTGCATTAGGAGCCAATTTCGAGTAGTAGTTTGTTTTTGACAACAGAAAAGGTTAATCACGTTTTTGTGTGCTCTTCGATTTTTGACTTTTGAAAGAAATGGATCAAAGAGTAAGTGTTAAATTTTGCGTTAAAAATATAATAAAATGCTTAGGCACTTGAAATATTCACTGTAGCATTCGATGAGTCCACTTTGCTCAAAAAGTATTTATAAGTGGTACAAGTGCTTTACAGAAGACCGAAAAGATGTTGATGACGATGAGCATCCTGGAAAATTGTTCTTGAAAATCGTCGATTCACTATTCAAGAAGTTGCAGAGGTTGTTGAAGTATCAATCGGCTATACTATTCAATTTCTCGAATATTTTGGGCATGAAACGTGTGGCAGCGAAGTTGGTTTCGAAATTGCTAGATTTGGAATCACACATTAATGCATATTCGTGATTTTTGGCCGGTATTCATGTCTCACCCACCGTATTCGACAGATTTGGCTCCCTGGACCTTTTCCTATTATCAAAACTGAAGAAACCAATGAAAGGAAAGTGTTTTGCCACAATTGATGAGATCAAGTCAAATCGAAGAAAGAGTGATGGTCATACCGAAAAGTGCATTTAGAAGTGCTTCGAAGATTGAAAAAGTGTTGGCACAAGTGTTTTATATCCGAAAGGGGATTACTTTGAAGGGACAAAATAGATATTGATGAATAAATAAGTACTTTTAAAAAAATCAAGTCACCTTTTCCTTTGAACATACCTCGTATGCTTTTGGATTATCTTCTATATTCATGTGTTCAATGACAAATATATACCGCAAAGAACGCAGCAAGAAAAATTACATATGTATTGTAGCAAAGAAAATGGAAGGTAGCGAATCGAACAAACTATACCAGAGATGTTAAACAAATAGTACTTGCTCAAAGCGCAGCGATAAAATGTCCTCTGATGCATGCTCTAATTTAATACACTTCTTTCTTTAGTGGAGAAATGCTCGCAATAAAATATTTTACTAACCCCTTAGTTTTACATAGTCAATAAAAATTTATTTCAGGTTAAAATCAATAAAAAAATATTTGTATATCAATTTTTGACTGTAATTTGCTATTTCAGTCATTCCAAAAGTAAAATTTGTTAAAATCGGTACAACAAAACTTGGTAGCATTGAAGACAAGCAGCTTACAACTTACCCGTGAAAATTTTTGGCAAATGTATCGAGAAAAAAAAAGCCAATCGAAGAGAGTTGTATTAACAAGTATGTACATTGATTGTACATAGATCCTTGATAAATTAGATAAGGTTTGCACCGCACCATAAACAAATATTTTAAAAGCATTATGTAAAACACCAGCTTTAAATTGGAAATAATGTAAAGTTAGACGTAGTTCTCAAGATTTTTCTACGAATCATTCATTATATTTTACTTTACAACACTTTTATTCTTGTCGGATCTGTTTTTGTTCGCGCTCACTCAAATAGTAATTGTCCCAATGAAAATAACCGAGGTAAATACATGCATAGAAACGATTCTGGCTATTCATTCTATTTTGTGTTAACAAAATAATTTTTGTACTTTTTTGCAAGATAATAAACTATTTAAAATTTGTAATGCTTCTAATTACAAAACGATTTTCTTTCGATTTGTTTGATTATAACAGACTGAAAGCAAGAGAGCGAAAGATAAGGGATTAAAGCTGATTTACCCCTTTTTAATTTATTAATAAATAAATTATAGTAGCGTAAATAGAAGAAACCATTGCACTAAAAATGTACTTAACATACGTGTTCAATTACCTTCGCGACTTAAAACTCATTGTGTATGTACATACTTGTATGGAAAAACCCGAATGATTAAAAAAAATTATTTGAATTACCTAAGGGTAGTAATAGGTAATGGTAGGTTTATATTATTTTAAGAAAGGAAGGACTTATAACTTAAAGAAAAACAATAACAATGTACATACTCAAATGGAGGGAGTAATATTTGAATTATGAATTTTGATTATGCATTTTTCACATTTAGGTGATTTTTTGCGACATCTGTTGGTCGAAGTTATGATTGGTGCTGTTAAG